AAAAACGCACAGGCACTCAAGCGTACCACTGAAATCTGCGCACACGCGCGCACTCGCTCGCCCCCCCACTTATAAACAAAGCTTCCTAAGGACAGGAAATCCTTCCACCCACGTTCCTGTGTTGCTTGGCAACCGGAGCAGCGTCACCGTGTGCATGCCTCTGCCGCTGAAAACGCACAAACAAGCAGACACACACACATTAAACTGCAACTCCTTAAACGCCGCTCCTTTAAAAGCACCGAAAAAGAAAATCGCCAGATCGCAGAGCCAAAGCCGAGCAGACCGATACTCGCCACAGCTGCCCTCCGATTCGTCAGCTATGGATCTACACCAAACATGACATCACCCCTTGTAAACATAAAACACTTTTTCCCCCTATTTATAAGCTCTATTTTTACACCCGCTGACGTCTTTCTATGCACGATGCTGCGCGTGCGCGTTTGTGTGTGTCAGTGAGCATTCAGTGTGCGTGCACTATCTAAGGATGCGACCGCCAATAGCTCAGCAGGACTTAAGGAGAGAGGGGCTAATTGAGCAGAGGTGCCCAGCACTGTGGACAATGAGTCCATTTCAAATCAGCAGGAGGCCTATTGAAGACAATTATAACCTGGGGGATACAGAGGAGCATTATTCTTCTGCGGCTGCGTTTCCACTGCAATTTACAGCCCGTCTTTTAACTCTCCGGTTGTATTAACATGAACCTGTGCATGAAAGGCAAAGTTCATCAGCCCTAATCAATCACAGCGGGCTCAGTCATTTACTAATAAATAATTCCTGTGTCTGAAATACAATGATTACCGCAAACACACAGAAGGAGCGGCTTTCTTCTTCACTGCGATCAATAAAGCACCGCCACAAGTTCAAGTTTACAAGTTGTTTCTTGTAAATAAATAAAAACTCACGGTATATCTAAAAGTCACATATTTAATTTGTTGTCATGCATATTTGCCAACTGGCGACGCTTTATTCAGGAGAGAATCAAAAGCCACTTCCCATCACAGTTGGTTCATTTACCAGTGAGGCGACGGCGTTAAAGATGCTTTTGCTTAATGGCTCGTGCTAAAAATTTTCCCGGCTTGCTATCAGCGTTTTCAGAGTCAGGAGTTCCTGACTGAGTTTTAAAAGATCTGAAGTCATCTGGGACAACACTGAATCTCGGGGCACTGTCGGGTGCTTAAAAATCGCTATTAAGAAGTTCAATTATTTTTGGAGCTGCTTTGCAGCTGTTAAGTAAAAAAATACAGTGAGTGGCAGTATTTTAGCGTCTCGCGGTGGACTATGGATTACAAGCACAGACTGTATAACTGACCCACTGGTTAGCAGACCTGAGCATTTTTGAAACCAGATACCACATACAACAACAACAACAACAGGTAGATCTGATTGTGACACTCACTGGATAATCGAGTGTCAGTCACACAGAACAGCTGCTTTGTCCAGCTTTTGACTCTAACGGGGACAATAATTCACAAAATTTGAATGTTTTACTCAGTAAGATTTAAATAAATCATAAGCCATAAACGTGTTGAGAAAAAAACATTGACAGGGTGACAGAGAACAGCTGAAGGCTGTTTTCTCATAGACTGTTTGGTACTTTGATAACTATGTCCATCTTTTATATACAGTCTGTGATTCCAACATTAATGAAACAAACGCTCATTTTTCATCTCTGAGTGCAAATAAGTAGGAGAAAAATAATTTCAGTTCATAAACTAGCATGTTAGTTAACAGTCCTGACGTTATGGCAAGATATGCAGAGATATCAAATAAAGCTAGCATGCTATTCAGCTAGCCCTGGCCTGTACTGTTTTGTAATACCACACTTTACTTCAGCGCCTACCTGTAGCGAACAATCAAGAGGGGCTTATGTTGCCTCAGAGATTTAGCAGTGTAGAGGCGGAAATATAAAACTTGTATAACTCTACACAAACGGTGGCTGTAGCTTCTCCTGTAGCTGTCGCCAATCTCAGGGTCAGCTTTGCTATTTTTGCTGCTAGGTTAGCAAGGTGCATCCATAAAATGCTAATTTTCTCAAAACTGGAGCACTCACTTCTTGGAATTTCTGTTGGTTAAAATGACTCTAACTCATACCGTCAGATAATTGTCTGAATTATTATTGTCTGAATTCACTTCAAAGTTCCAGTGTGGTGACTCATATTAGCTCAAGTGGCGCTTACCCAACAGCTACCGGCAACGCTTGCTTGTCGTGGCAACCATCCGCCGCGCACTTTTAATACTTAATCACTTTAAGCATTAATAATACTTCAAAAGGTTCCGCCTCTGTACAGTAGTTATGAAGAGGAAATTAACCATAAAGACCAAAAACATATTCTGAACGTGCTTTTTAAAGTTGTTAAGTTCGGCATTTTAACACTGGCGTCTATGGGGAATGCCCCAAGTGGACATTTAGAGGAACTGCAGTGTTTGCCCCTGTGTTGAGTTCAATGCTCCACTGAGGGCAGAGTGGACTAAACAGTAAAACATAATTCTCTCTTGCATACGGATATATTTAGTTTGAAACAAAAATATTTCAATATAGTATCCAGTTACTACAAACCAGATCACGGACCACAGATGTCCACTTTAAGTGGAAATTTCTTAATAAAAAAGTACTCCATTACACAAAGTAGTGATTATATTTGCACCTGTGTCTATGCATCAATGTATTTTGGAAGAAAGTTTTGCTACATGGTAAAATTCAAGGGTTTACAATGAGGACTGGGATACTGGCTAACAATAAATGTAAATAGTGTAACCATATTTAGTTTGACCAGGCAGGAATCAAACGCTTTACAATGGAAGCAGCAGTGCAATCGTCGTCTGTGCACTGCCTTGCTCTGAGCCCAGATATGGGCCGTATCTTCACACAGCACAACAGCTGATTTAACTATAATCTGGTACTTTTTTTTCCCCATTGTTTTTTTCCACCAGTTTACCTTCGTACTGTGTCCTCTTTTCACCTATAAAACTTAAGAAGTCAGGACATTTTTTTCTCACTTTTGCTGATAAGCTGCACTTCTGTAGTGTTTACCTTTCAGAACTAAATGTGCTGTAGCCTCTGCTGTATACTTTGTTCTGACGGTGCATTTCAGACACACACGTGGCTCAAAGCCACAGCTGACCAGAGCGCTTACTGCGTAGCTCCGGGCCTGACCAGTGCAACGAGAAATATCAAAACTGCCATTTTTTTTGAGTGTTTATGTTGAATAAATCACGAGATGACATCCATTAAAAACTGTATTCAAACTGCATACTACTCAATTCATTCACACATGAATTATAGATCCATTATGGGCTGTTTTAGCTGTGCTGAGGGAATCAGACAAACAACAGTTGTGCTGAGAGCACTAACCCACTGATCCATCCATACCAATTATCTGTGTCTAGGGTGGAGTCTGAATTCAATATTCAATTTACACAGTTCAATCTCCCATCAGAGCTTCCAGCTGGAAAAACTAAAGGCGTCAAAACGGCCATAACGGACAAAAGCGGCATAAGCCTCGTCTGAGAGCTTCAACTGTCTCCAAAGTGAAAAAGAAGCGGGCTAACTGAACGTCGCACCACAGGGGTGTCCATTGAGAGACAGTGAGAGGTGGAGGGGCGAGAACTCCATTGAGCTCAGCCATGGGGGGTCAATATGTGAATGAACGTTTGCCATGGAGGTGAATTATGAATGAGCAGCACTCGCAGCACTCCTGGAGAGAGCATGTCAGCCCCCCCTGTCTCCTTCACTCCATCCTCTCTTGCTTTCTTTCCATTTCTCCTCCTCCTCCTCCCCCTGCTGCTGTCCTAAAATCTCCATCATCCTCTCCTTTCCCCTCCGTCTCTGTCTCATCTCTCGCTACTGGATTAATCTTCTCATCTGCCTCATTCTTGGTCATCTGATCTCCTCCCCTCCCCAAACCTCCTCCACCTCCTGTCTCCAGACCGGGTTGAGAATGGGGGGGGTGACGGAGGTAGAGACACACGCCGTCTGTCTGAGAGAGACGACAAAACCCTTGTTCCCTTCACATGCATATTTGCACAAATTCAGTAGGACACACACACACACGCACCCGTGCACACACACAGTGGCACATACGATAATGCAAAGGCAAACATTCCTGCATGTGAAAAGGCAGATGCATGCATTAAGTGAAAGGCTTTCAGACACACACACTTCTCCCAGCTGTTCTCCTGGCCACAGAGCTTGTGTGTGTGTGTGTGTGTGTATTCGCGTGTGTGTAATCCAATGTGCTGCTGCTCAGCCTGTGCCATGCTCTCTCCTCTGTTGCTGTGCGTCTGATCAGATCTGCCTCCGTCAACCTGTTTGCCGTCTATGGCTCACAGACGCACACACACTTTTTCTCTCCCTCTCTATTTCACACACAGACACACACACACGTTTCAGAAGCTGTTACTACTTATCAAGCCTCCTTCAAGCTTGGGAAAAACAACATTCATTCAGCCTTGGTTTCGCCGCCGCCAAGTGATGTGTTACCTGCTGCACTCCAAACACCTGAGCACGCACACACACACACACAGTGAAAGAAAGGGGAAAACGGACTTAAAGAGAGTGTTTTGCCCCTATTTTTCTCTCCTTCAGCTTAAAGTAGCCTACCAGGAACAAGAAAAAGTGCGTTTGTGTTGGAATGAGATCACACTGTTCCCTTAAAAAGTATCCACTCCTTTTGATCCCTTCACTCCAGTTTACAGCGGTCACTTCAGCTCACTTTGGCCCCTTTTTTAGCTTGTGGAAAACAACCTTTATAACTCTCTCTCTCACACACACACACACTCACACCTGTATATATAGGCATACTTACAGTGACACACACACACACACATGCACACCTGTATATATAGGCATACTTACAGTGACACACACACACACATGCACACGTACCTCCAGAGCACTTCCCTTTAAGTGCAGAGCCGTGCAGCACATGTCATCATCACACACACACTCACAGACCTCTGCCAGACCTGCATTAATGCCACAAAAAGCCCAGTAAAGTCACCTTAGGATCCTTCTGTGTTCCAGACGAGCCCCTTCTTCACACTCTTCCTCTCCTCTTTTAGACTTCTCTCTCCTCCTCTCCTCCTTTCCTTCCGTCCTTCCTACCGTGCTATCCGTCAGTCCTTCTTCTCCCTCTCTCTCTCTTTCACTCTTCGTTTCGGTACTCGGTCAGTTCCCAGCGTTTTTCCCGAGCCCCTCCATATCCGCCCAGCCAGTCGTTTCTAACCGCCGAGCAAGCGTACCTACACACACACACACGCACACACACACAAGCCGCTTCTGCGTTCCTATAGTCTCTCTCGCTCTCTCCCTCTGTTTATTCCTCTCTGAGCTCGCGCTCTCCCTCTCTCTCTACTGTCGGAGAAGAGCTCGGTGAGCGTGTGTATGCGCAAGTTTGTGTACGTGTGCGCGCGCGTGGATGTGTGTGTTCCTGTGCTGTGCCTGCTTTGCCCCGCCAGCAGCAGCAAGCAGCAGAGGACTTCCCCCGGTGCCCGCCCTGGGTCCTAGAGAGAGCTCTGTTCCCTGAAAGAATGCCATTGTGTACGGAAGACATGTCCAAAGATCGTCTATAATCTTAACAAGACGATTCATTCACCAGTTTTATACCACACACACACACACACACACACACACACACACATATATATACACACACATATATATGTAGTAAAAAAAAATGCAGTAAAAAAAGGTAATATGATAATATTAAATTATAATAATTATCATATTACCTTTCATTTAATAATAAATCTTCTAAATCTTCAGTAAGGTGCATTTTGAACACACAAACATCACTAAATTAAGGAACTAATATATCTATCTATATAGATATAGATTTATAGATATATATATATCCTTGTGACATAGATACAAATAATTAAGTATTAGAACATAAGAAGGCTATTCAACAAAAGGTTCGTTTAGCCATTATGACATCCAAAGGTAAAATGTGGGATTTTATTTATTTATTTATTTATTTATCTTTAAGCCAGTGAGTTGTTTTGATTCTGTACCCAAGTGGTCGCTATGGCAACAGCAGGGCAGAGAGGCAGATGCGGGGAGTCATGCAAGGGAGTAGAAGCTGTTATAGATGGCGGATGGAGGGGCATTCTGTCCTTTTGCACATCAACTACACTGAGCTCCGTTGGACGCATTTGCCCGGGTCATAAATCACATTTTCATTTGCTCATGTCAAGTAGCCTCAACACCGCTTCCTTCACCTTCTCTGTCTCTCTCTCACGCACACAGGCACGCGCACACACGGGGTTCACTCGGGTCTACTTAGAAAAACTTGACTGCGTTGCCGTGAGAGGCAGAAGCACAGCACCTTTAAAATATGGCGTACGCCTTTCTTTCTTAACAGAGTGAGTCATCTTCTTGAACTCGTTTAATCTCCTGTGCAGCTACCTTCTTCCTCATCTCCCTCCCCCTCCCTCCTCTCCTTTCCCCATCCTGCCTCAGAGCGTCATCAGGTTACCATAGCAACGGCCCGCCTATGGGAGACAGAGATCAGATCATTATGGACCATGGGATCCAGAAACTGAAGGACATGATTTTTTCTTTTCTTTTCTGTGAACACAGGAAGCGGGAACCCTTAACAGGAAGGCTTGAACGCCTTCTTAGTTAAACAGCCAGAGTAGTGAGAACTTCTACTGAGCAGGTTTTTCAAAAGCAGCTTTGATAATCCATTTAAACCCTTCAATAACATAAGTAATGCGTGCCTACCACTCCTGCACGTCGCTAAAAATAGAGTAAACTTCATTAGATATGCAAAATAGGGTGCTTTGAGATGTAAACACGTAGCCTCCAGAAACAGTTCACCAGAACTTGCTTGCCACACTTCTGAATTAATGAATCTGACAGACGTGGCAGTGATCAGCCCACTGAGAGCCCACAGCAAGGAAATCCAAATGTGCTCTCTTTTTATATATATATGGGCGGGGAAATGGAAGCGGGCAAAGTGCGGTGCTTCAAGTTGAGCTCAAAACGCACCAAGGAAACTGTTTTGTTTAATAAAGATCAAAGACAAGTGTTGGGAGAATGAAGTGTGTTTACAGGCCCTCATATCCAGGCTGCTTCGCCGTGCCCCTATTATTAGTGGGAGGCCGTGTGTGTGTACGTGTTTGCATGTGTGCTTGTATTGCAAGCCTAGGGGGCTGCATTAAGCTGAAGCGACAGAGGGGGATCTTTAAGATGTCTTCCAAAGTTTGCTATTGAGGGAGATCTTATCTCTGAGCCCCACAAACAGCCTGGGAGAGGCGAGCCGAGGCTTAAGACAGTGAAGGAAAAACAGAGTCCAGGTAGCAGCACAGCTAAACAAGATATGTGTGATGATTTTACTCGTCAGCTAGTGGTTATCTTGTCCGTTCAGTTCAGAATTCGGATTAAAATCAGCAGGAATTTATTTAATAATTGAAATGCTGAATTGTTCTTGTTCTGCCCCTGTCATCAAACAGCCAATCAGCAATAGGATGGAAAAAAGAAGCATTGTTGTCCCACTGCATTTGGACAGCTAAAGTTCCCCAGTGTTTATTGGCACACAAATTTTTAATCTCCAAGTCTGTGGTTATCATAATGAGTAAGTAGACAAGTGTAGTCATTGTATTTCTTGGCTAGTCTTAGCCACAATGTGAATTAGCGTGGCACTGGCTCCAGGCTCTGGTGGGTTAAGCCAGACAGGAAGATCATGTCAACACATTAAGAAAAAGCCTTAGTGTTATGAAAATGTGCCCACATAAAAAACTATGGACTCAAAAAAATGGACTCATTTATAGGTATAAGCATTTCAAACTGCCAATGAAAATAAAGAAATATAAAAGAGTCAGGAGAAACACCCTTCAATCATGTCGCGAGTGTTGATGTTGCACAGTTTGTCCACCAGAGGGCAAATTCTGTGTCGGCAGCACACGTTTGGGATGCCACAAACAACAACCAGCTGATCTGATTTTTATGTCCATGTGCTCTCTAAAATAACTAAACTGCTATGTGCCCTGTTGGAAGTTCCATGAATAGCCTCGAGGCTAGCTCCAAACTTGGACAGTTTAATAGATTGATGTCACCCACTGGTTAGTAAAGTCCTATTATGAAGCTCCAGTTGAATGTTTTCGCTGTTGTCATTTTGTTGTGATGACCTAGACCAGATCTGTTTGTGAAACCACGTTCTCATTGGCGAATTACTTCTTAGAATGACTATAATTTATAAAACTGACTTAATGTTTTAATCAATATAAGCAGAAATGAATGACTGAGGCATAATCTCATCAGGAAACTGTTTACAGAGCTCAGAGCCAATGAAGGACTTCCTGCAGACTTGTGCAGGACCGGAAGTCTTTTTGGTCTCCATTAGATGAATGCTGAGTTAAGATACTTCTACGTTACCTTCAAACCTGGAAGCTTGGTCTTTGGTAGTGTTTGTGCCTTCAAAAGAGGGCTACTATTTAACTCAATACTGGATGCAATTTTAGTATTTTATTTGTATATTATTATTAGAAATGGTAGCAGAGGTTCTTTGTTTTAGCAGTCCTGTCCACAGTGGGACTGGAACATTAAATTAACTGGTTATAAATGTCTGTCATTATTGACAGTTCATTTAAATTACATTTCAGTGATGCATTTCATTTGCCGCTTAACACATATACAGCCGAACTGCAACAGAACAGCACGATAGGGAAGGAGAAATGGAGAGAGTCTGTTAAAGAAACCCAAGCTGCTGCTACAGACAAACATATTATTTTATGATCACAACATTGTCAGATAAAATTAACTAAACTGCAGGTGTTGCCAATCCACAGACTGCATTTACGCTAGGCTGACACCTAATCATGCAAGCCAGACTTCCTCCAGATGTGCCACAGTACAAATTATGGTATTTCGGTTTACTGCGTATGCATTGATGCCCTCTATTAATATGTGTGTCCTTTAACCACGAAAATACATATTTACTTATTTATGTGTTGTGTTTCAAAGCAGCTCTATCTTGGGTCAGCATGTTGACAACCAGTTAATTATATATTGTGACTGTGGCATCACTCATGATGATTTAAATTATGCTGAACTTAACACTTCTAATCACCAACTACATTGCTGCATCCACCTGAAACCCAAATAAATCTCCAATATCTTTGTGGATAGCGAGAACATGACAAACTGCTTACATTATTGGGTTCTACTTTGTTTAACGATGCCAGCGCCCCCAAAACTCCAAGAGCTAATTAGTTTTTAGTTGTACCAGCAATTCCCAGCTGGTCTTTACTAGCTAAAACAAGTAGAGCCTGATTGGTTTATCTGTGAGCTGATATTATCAGCAGATATTAGCTATTTGCCCGTGTCATGATATCAGCATGTATAACTGCCAATGAATAATTATAATAATTATAAGAGGAATTGACAAGGGAAACACCCTTCAACCACGTTACGAGTTGTGATGTTGCATAGTTCAACCACCAGAGGGCAACACACATGTTTGGGCAGCCCGTTCTCACTCCCAACGCGTAACATACTGACGATTTGTCACATCCTGAGGCTCCATGGGAATAACTAACAGAAACAAAACAGAAACAGAGATGCAGGGAGGCACAGGGAAATACACAGAATGACGGATGGAGAGACGCAGACGAACCAGCAACGAGGACGAGGTAACACACACTATAAATACACACACCAGGAATCAAGGGATGGGAAACAGGAGGGGAACACACCTGGAAGACATCACAGCTGACGAGGCAGGGGAACGTAAACAGAACGCACTGACATCAGACGGGGACCTTCAAAGTAAAACAGGAACACATACACGCAAAGACACTGACTAAGAAACGCGAACTAAACACAGAGACCTTACTACACAAAAGGGGATACACAGGCAGGGATGACACCAAACAGAGGGAACACAACTAAACCCTGGGAAACCAAAACACAACAGTCATAATACATAAAACTACAACAAAAGTACAACAACCAAAAACACTGGGTCACTGACCCAGGACCATGACACCGTCTGCGTTCCTATGCTATGCGCCGAATTGTGGATGAAATCGAATAGAATGACGCTCCCGCGATAACACACGTTCCAGCCGTGTATTCCAGCCCTAACCCTGATCTTGTCCCTAATCGTAACCGCCACCTTAAATGTGTTAGATAGTGTTTTCCAAA